ATAATTATGTAGTCTTTGACTACCAGTATACATCTTAAATTTGAGTTTGACTTGTACTTTAATTTTATTGTCACAAGTGGTGGTTGATTTTATTAAACACAAGATGTGCAGTTATGTTCTAGTTCTATTTCAATAAAAAGGTACTTGAAAACTTTTCAAGTCTCTGTTGATACATCAGACACAGCGATAATTCGCTATACGTCTGTTTAGAGTTTGGATCTAGTTTATGCTCCCAAAGCAAGTCAAACTCTAAAATGTCATATTCGAGATATGTTCTTCTAACCATGCCAGCCATGCTATAAAATATACCGTGCGAGCCATACTCTTAAAATCTTGTTTCTGAAAAACTCTGGAAAGCGTCTATTTCTTTAAGAGCCACAATATATGCCCTCGTGTGCAAAATTAAGATAATTTTCACATTATGTCGAATTTATGAAAACCTATTGGACATATTTTAATGAAATTTGTTATGAATATGCATTTATAACAAAGGAAGAGATGCACCATTCAAAAGTTATTTTTTATTCGCATGATTATCAGAAAAGCTTATAGTGCAGGGATATCCAAAATCGATGTTATGATATCAAACTGAAAATGAGTCTAATATGAGGTAGGGTCTCTTCTCACAGCCAGACAAGTCTTGCAGCATGACGCACACAGGACAGCAGGGAGTTGAAGATAACCTGTTGCTTCGGTCCCATTTCTGCAGCAAGGCAGTTTTCATCTCGAGGATGGTTCTCGGAGAGGAATGACAAGATAAAATTGCTACCCCAAGAAAGTCCCAGACGTGCTCTAGAGGGTTAAAGTCAGGAGATCTGATTGGACAATCCATGCAAAAAATATCCCCACTTTCCAGTGAATCGTGAATCAGTCGAGCCCCATGCGGACGAATATTATGGTTCATTAACAAGAACCCAGAACAAACTGCTCTCTTAAAGAGTCGAACATAATACTGTAATATCTCCTCTCTGTACCTGTGTTGTTCCAGAATATCACACTAACCCCAAATAAAGAATTGACGATGATGAACGAAGTCCAGTAACAGCAGATTCAAACTTTGAAGACGCGCAACTGCCTAATAAATTTGGAAGTTATTGTATAGCCCAAGATTACAACACAAAATGAGCTCTACAATTTCAACATGATTTGACAGCTTGCATGGTTCGATACCAAGAGTTATACAAGGAATTCACCCCCCCCCCCAAAAAAAAAACCGCACAGTGATCGATAATCAAATTTTTGTTTTAAATCCAATAAACCCCAAAATGTAGAAAGAACTATTAATAACGATTTTTTTATATCTTGAACTGATATTTATACAAGGAAACCCTATCCACCTTTAATTTTTATTGTAGTGTATGTTTTTACATGGTATTCCGAGGAACGTAGCCACAGTGTAAAACGAGAACCTGGCGTACCTTTTTAGCTCATTTTTAATTTACTTCTGAAGAGAGAGACATTGAACGAAACAGAGTTTGAATATAAAATTAGAACCAGAAAATATGCACTGAAATGCACCTAAGCTGTTTAAATTAAGTACATCCCGCGGGAGTTAGAAAGTTACTGCTGCACTACGAAAAGATTTATTGTTTGGCAATTATTTTGACGGCAACAACACAGTTCGATTAATATTATGATAACAAAGAAGCAAATGGACTGTAATGGAATTACTGCGAATTTATCGCAGACTTCCTTGTTCTCCATTCGACTGCTTAGCGATTAAATATCATTATATAACTAAAATCGCGTTTCGCACGAACGAAGAATGTTGAACTGGTTCTGAAGTCTATTCAACCGATTAACTTCTAAAGAAGCAAATATTTCATATTTGAATTGCGGCACTCTTACTACAGTTAAATTCTTTCAGCTCTTTGTATGTTAAGCCACTGGTGGCCTAACTTCTCTGTCTTCGAGGATCAATTTGAGTCTTATTTTGGGGACTGAGAGCTGAAACGTATGTTTTGTTTAACAAATTAGTTAAGAATATGCCCAGGAATAATAACTAAAGCTTACTTGAAGACTCTTGTGCTATTAATTTCAAATAATTTTCGTATGAAGTTTATCCTAAGATGGTTAGAAGTATGAAAATATACACGAATTGAGTCAGTAATAATAATGAATTTCGTAACTTTAAGTGGTTAGGTTAGGAACATTTAAAAGTTAGATTTCGTAATTTTTGCAAAATTGGCGTTCATAAATTAAAAAAATACGAAGTGAATTTGCATCATTTAAAATATTTTTATGACTGAAAGTATATGTCTACGACCAACGGGTGGGGTGGGGAAAGGTTGAGTATATTAACTTGCAGAATTAGAGTAGTTCTGGTCTTCAGACAGAACCCAAGTACAGAAGTATGAGCATGTTTGTCAGACCTGTACAGGTTACCGATATGTTTATGTTATTTGCTTATGGCAAAGCACTCGAAGGCTTTTATCTGTTAAGTAGGAGGGTGCCTTCACGAAGAGGTTTGAGGTTTGTAAGAGAAACTGTCTCGCGTTCACATTACACATGTAGCAAACCACGGAAATCAATAATGCACGCAGCCGGTTTACCGAGGTTCGAACTCGGATCGAATTAACAATATTCAGTGGTCTTACCACTCGGCCATTGGTGGGGTGGCCACAAGTCATTAGTCACTGCATTCAGTAATATTCAGAACAGACATGGAATAAGGTAAACAATTTTTTCAACTATTAGTCCAGCGCACACTCCCGAAGCGGTTGACGAAAAATTTGATGAAAACTATCATACAACACGCAATATGTTTTTTTTTTCAAAAAGTTAACATATTATTTTTAATAATTTTATAGAAAAATTCTAAAACAATTAAGTGCTCAAAATTTGAAAGGTTTAAAAAGCTTTGTTATTTACAGATTCTATTGTCGCGTATATTTAATAAAAAATCTGAGTTTTCTATCATTCACTGACAGAACTATATGATTATCTCGCATGATTCTAATTTATTGCTTTTTTGATAATCATCGCGTTCAGAATGTGAAACAGGTATGAAAGCAATCTTAGTTCGGCATAGATCTTGAATGGAACTCATAACTACCTAGTTTTAAATGCAACATTGGCGTGTTTTTCTTCCAGTTTGGTTTGAGTAACTTTAATCGATTTCTTTTCCGAAAGTTCCTGTGCTATAATGGAAAATACATGCACTATTGCCATATTTATATTAAGGGCATGCTGACATAAGATAATTATTAATTTTACAAACGTAATATAAACAGAATTGCTCTTCAAATGAAAAAAATCCGTCCATTTTTATGGCGTTTTGTAACTTTGCTATTGATACTTTCTTCCCAAATGTGTTTACGCAGAGGATATTTCATTTTGATTTACTTATTAACTAGCAGCGAATTATCCTCCTTATTGCATTCAACTCATACCACTGATTCAAACCACTGACCTTCCGACTTATAGCCCTATGTACTATCAGTTACACCACGAGAGCATGCCGAATTTATGAATATCTTTTAGCGTTATTCTTTTAAAAGTATGTAGCTTGTCGAAATCTTTTGTTGATTTCTCCACTATAAAACACAATTGAATAGAATGATAGAATTTTGTACGCAAACCATTATTCTTTTGAACGTGGCGATATTTGTAAAATGTATACAGTGTCCATAAATGTTTTTATAGAGCCATTAATTTTGCAATTATTATTACAAAAACATATACTTTTAATTACAAAAGTATTTTAAATAATGAAGCATGTATGCTTTGGTATTTTCAAATTTAAAAGGTAAATTTTATAAGAATTACGATATCTTATTCTAAATACAGTCCTCTTGCCCCTATTGTTATATTTAATGAAAGTTATGCTTATTCTGAAAAATCAAACACAAATATTTTCTCTCGAGTATGATAAAGATTGTTCAAGACATTGTTCTATCTCTGAATGCTTCTCACAGTTCTCTGTGTAATGATAGAATTATCATTTTAGAACTTCCATCTTCAGAATCATCCGTTAGATAGAAAAAGTAATCTCTCAAGTTAGGTAGGGATTAGAATTTCTAAGATAATTTACCGAGAGTCGGTAGTTCTTCAAAAACAGTTCGAGTTTTTAAACATTACTATTCAATAGCTCAAGATGATGGATTGAAGATCTCGAAAAATCATCACATCACACTATACTAATTAGAAGAAATAATATTACTATATTCAGTACACTTCCTTCTATATTACTTTTCCGTTTTCTGTAAATTAAAAACATAACATGTATATAAAATACGGTACTTTTGATTTAAATGCACTAAAAATTAAAAGCATATTTTTTAAGCTAAAATATTTTTAATTAAATGTGAATATTTGAATTTAAATATGTGAAATTTTAGCTTATATAAATTTTATTTTACTTAAATAGGCTAAAATATTTTTAATCATATGTGAACTAAAATTAAATTGCATTCATTTTAAGTACAGCCTCCATTGGAAAAATCTAAAAACAGTTGCAGGGTATCATGCTTTCCATGATGACGATTAATGTCTGCGAGAAACTTCAGCATAAGCAGATGGAAAGTACAAGAGTGGGAATACAATATGTCATAGTAATTACACCGATTATGTTGTTTACGATTTCTATTGACTTCGTACTGTCCATGACATGCTTCTGCACATGTGCGAAAAAATACTCATTTGAGTATTGTCAGTTTCGTCTAGATTCATCGGTTTATTTTAAATTTGAGTAAGACATGTTGGAAACATTTCTTTGTATCCTAAAATGGGGATCAAGCTTTCATGGTACGATTTCCAAAAGGAGATCTGAGATCAGAGGGTAGACTGTATAATAGTAAAACACAAATCTGCAGTTCAAAACTAGTGTTCTTAAGTTTTAGCATCAGCATGCTAAAACAAATACTTCAGTCTCCCCCCCCCCTTAATTTAAAAATCCGTTTGCTATTTTAAATTTACCTGTAAAAGTTAACCTTCAGTAAGACAACCTTACTTATACAACCACTTCTATTATTAAATAAGATTTATTTAACCTATTACAGGAAGACATAAGCCGGACGATGGAAATCTTGAAAGAAAGTGTCACTGTTTGCAATAGGCTAAGGAAAAGAGGGACGCTTCTGTATATAACAAGGCTAATCAGAGGAACAGACTATAACATGTACACACAAGGTAATAATATATTCAATCCCGTGTCTCGAAAAAGTATAAAGATATCCATATATAAATAACAAAATTTTTCTGAAAAAAAAAAAAAAAAAAACTATTGAACTTTATAATGGTTTTCTAATTTTGAAAGAATTCTTTTTATGAATATGAAGTAATGATATAAGGAGCTACTAAGGAAGATTATTGCTTAAAAGGTCTCAGCAGTCTTTTCAGATACTGATTTAAATAGTTTATAAAATAACTTCAAAGTTTCAGTTTATTGCTTATGAAACAAATACAATATAATATCAGTTGATAGCTATAATTTATTTCATAATATTTGATTAACAAATAAAGAAGGCTAAAAAATTTTAATTACTAAAGTGCAGTAAGAAGATTAAAAATATTGGTAGACAGTCTAAGAAAAATGACAAAAGAAAATGTCAGTTAATTTAAGCATAGTTTAAGAAATATTAACATCTAATTCTTTTTATACCGCGAGCAGTTGTTTTTTAATTCAGTTTTGTCTTTCTATAGTTTATGTATTGAAATTTAAAAAGTATTCAGTAATCTTTAAATATATGATAAAACCTTTAGTAACAGATTTCCATAATTATTGTAGTTTCCCTAAATAAGCCCAAAATCAGTGTTCGGCTGTTGGATGCTCAATATAACATTAATTTGTTACTGTATTTTAAAATTGGATAAGCAGCGTACTGAATATCCAAAATGCTGCATATCTCGCTTTAAAAAATTGTTTTATCTCTTGGCATGAAAAATAAAGGATTTGCTTTATTCCGGATTAAAAAAAACAACAAAATATCTAAATGCGTTTTAAATATAATAAGTGCATTGAAATGCGTTTTAAATATAATAAGTGCATTGAAATGCGTTTTAAATATAATAAGTACATTGGAATGTGTTTTAAATATAATAAGTGCGTAAAGGATATAAGATGTATGTCGATTACCATTCAGTTATCATGCAACTAAAACGCAAGCAGCCCTCTTTCACTAATTAACTTGGCATAATCTGAAAGGAATTCCTTCTTTTATTTTTCTCTGACAATGTTTTATTTTTTTTTAATAATTAGAGGAAGTTCATGCAGAGTTGTGCTACGCAGAGTGCCTGCTCCTGACAGCGTTGTTAACATTCATTGCTGACAATTCCTTCGTGAATTTCATTAAGGGTGGTCTTCGAATTAGAGCCTGTTACAGAGCATACAAGTAAGTAAACACACTTCATTGTCTGTTTCCAAACTAAACATTAAAAGTTATTCTTGTGAAGCTCTTTTCATCTTTGCCTCTTGCACTGCGAATAAGTATTTTTTAATCCAGCGTTTCTCGAACAGTGGCCATCGAAATCTGATTTTGTGGTTCTCCTAGATTTGCAAAAATATTCTTTTACTTTTAAAAGAAATTAAAAAGATTTTACATCATTTCTTGTTCGTGGCATGTGGCTAAGCATTTGGCATATGTTTCGGATATATTCTCCAAACTAAGTGAACTAAATTTCTGTCTACACCGTACGTTTTTCACTGTTTTCAATGCACATGAGAAATTAAAAGGGTTTGAGGAGAAATTTTGTTTCTGGGTTAGTTCTGTAAATCAGAGAATATTTTCGTCTTTTCCAATCTTAGATTACTTTGTAATAAAAAATGACGTCTTTATTGAAAAATAACGACGTCATGCAGTGACAGATATTCTGAACATACAGTGGCATATGTTCGCATTTTGAAACTTTGAGGTGACAGTTTGAAACTTATTATCCAAGAATTAAATATAACGCATATGCATAAGTTCGTGATTCTTTCTATTGCGATATTGAAAATAATGAAAGAGAATAGTTAATTGAACTCTCGAATAACACCGGAATGAAAATGAAATTCCAAGTAAAAGGTAGGGTTAAATTCTGGACCTTGTTACGAGAAAAAACGGAATATAGTAAACTACACAACGGTATTTCAAAATTATAATTTATTTTGCTTTTATGTATATCTGTAAGAAAGGGCTTTTATCGCTAACTCAAATCAAATAAAGTGCCCACGTCACCTAAATATATGTGACAATCTTAGACTTAAGCTCTTACTAGCATTCACAATTGGCAGACTTATCCATGTCATTAATGTAAGTGCCCAGAGCCAGGACAAGAGTCAGGCAAGTGAGGTATTTGCCTGGGATGAATGGTTTGCAATGGGGCGAAATTAGCTGAGCAATTTTAGAAATTGTATTTAAAAAAATCTGATATGACCTCCAGCCGGTTTTATGCTTTAAACAGCAATGAGTTTTAAGTAAGGTATCTCTTGTAGTAGATCGTTTGTAAACAAAATCTAATTTATTATTCTAATAAGGTCTATAATGCAAAAATGTTTGTTTATATTTTATTAAGTACAGATGGGCATGTGTAAAAACTGTTTTTTTTCTAAATTTATACCAGTATAATCAAATGTTTGCTCCTTTAGATTTTTATTAAAAATTGCGTTTTATTGAACAGTTAAATAATATGTAATTTAATTTACTTTTAATTGAAGAAAATTAAGTGTTCATAATATATTTAAAATAAATACTTTAAAATGAACACCATAATTTGATTTTCTTGTATATTATTTCTGTAGCATCAACAAATCTAAACTCAAATTGATCTGCACCTATATCCCTGCGATGTTTAAATGTCAGTAAACAATGCTTGTTCATCTGCAACAACAAGTTAGGTTTTATATATGGAACAATATATTATGTTGATTGTTTCAAAACTGTTAAAATGGGCTTCAAGTAAAGTACCACTTCCGTTTGTTCAGTTTCACCCAATTAATCATCTCTTAAAAGAAATGGCTAAAGCTTAAATAAGGAAAATGGAAATTTGTGTAGGTCTGGATAAAAGAGTAATAGTGGGCGAAACAAATCTTCACGCTCATGATACAGACAAAATGGTACACGCATGATGGTAAAAATAATAAAAACGTGTTGTGGGGACCTTAATTTATGCTCATTTACTGAAAATTCACTATCGAATTAATTAGCAGCTAAAAAGGAGATATTAAAAAAATTAACGGGACAGTTTTCGATTCCAAGTTTCTTAACTTGTGAAAAAGAATCTTAATTAGAAATATCTAGTTGGAAAAACCATCTTTTTTCAGAAATTCTGGTCGTTAAATCAAAATCAGATATTTAAAAAAAAAAAAAAAAAAAAAAAATCAGGGCATTCATTTAGCATTATGGGCATTCATTCATTTTATTTCACTTAAAATTTGCGTTAATATTTTTAACGTTGCCAATTACTTATGTTAGAGTTAAAGAAGCTTCAGAAAACATAATACATAAAAATCTGATGTGTACACCACATGATTTCCTTGTACGGAATATTAAATTATACACATTTTTTGCTTGCATTTCATTTAAATTTATTGGATTGAATTAAATCTACTTCGTCGATTGTGCATAAACCACAATAGAATAAACGCACTCTTTAAAATAAAATTCCCTATATTTGTTTACCATTACGACACTCTGGCGCTAGGGTCACTTAACATAGTTACATTTCGTTCATATTATAACTCTGAATGCACAAAATTTATATAAATTGAAGAGTTATCTAATCATTGCCACATGTTCTATTCAAATACTATAATAAATCTAGAACGATGTACGATTTACGTGCAGACACCACGAAAAATTCACTTCAGAATTCATTTTAAAGCAGTTTCATAATTTTTTTGGAGGAAACGAGTCTTTTATTCTGTCCTTACATACAGATGTCACGCAAAAGCATTGTTAAATTGCATTCGATAGAGGTCAAAATGGATATTTTCGTTGAAATATGCTGCCCGAAACTTTTCGAGATTACAATACTTCCTTTTTACTCTGTACAAAGGAAGTAAAAAACAGTAATGCAAAATCTTTTTTTACTCTCCTCCCCAAAATAAAGCTTATGAATATCACCATTTTCTGTATAGAGCATTACGATTACGATTTAAAAATATTGTAAGAGGTTTATTATGGCTTAGAATAGTTTTCTCTGCAGCATATAAGAATACATAAATACACTTAATTCGATCGTATCCAAGTGCGTGTATTTACCTCTTTGCATCAGGCAAAAAAATACCTACGCACGGCTCTGTGAGTGCCAACATTAATTTATTATTTATATAATAAGATCATCCAAATTAGAATAGCCTTAAATTAATAAAAACGAATATAACTTTACTTCTATTAAATGAATTTTAATTAATTGTACTTTAAAAACATAAGTATGTTCGTAGTAAAACATGCTAAAAAATTACTTTCGAAGAGAAAAAGAGTAAGGTTGCCCTCAGAACATTCTAATTTAAAAAGTAGTCCTTACTTGGAGAAACGCTGCTCGAATAATTTTCTTTTCTTTTCGGTAATAATTTTATAGGTTCCTTCGTGTGTTGGAATTTTTTATAATACATGAGATTTTAAATGATAATTAATGCCTTGTTGCACAAACTCTTAGTATTATTCGTAGACATTATAATGTTGACATTAGTATATATCAAAAGGTGCTCGTTTTAAAGTTAATGTAACATTCAATAGAAATTTACAATATCAGTTATCTTTCGAAAGGCTGCTATGTGTCAGAAAAATAGAAAGGAAGCATGAAGATAGAGCAATTGCTTCTACTATATTTTATGTTTCTCATATTTTAAAATCTTGTTTTGCTGTCTGTTTTGTTATCATGTTTTCGATCTTCAAAAAGAAGTTTTTAGCTTTTTGTTTATTTTTAAACTATTATTATTAAACTTATTATTAGAGTTTATCAGCCAAGGTTTAAAAATAAATTTTTTGTTTATTTTTAAACCTTGGCTGAGTAAGAAAAAAATTAATGTTATCAGTGAAATATAAAGAAATAGTTAATAAATGTGTGTATCAGAAGAAATGAACACAGAGTGTAGTATAACGTTAAGCATGCAAATTTCGTTTGTAAACAGACCATAGTACTGTTAAATATTAAGCATTAAAAATTCCAACCGCAACGAATTTTTTTCTACATTTTTATCTTTAAGTTTGAATGGCATCATATGCAAATACTCCTCCTAACTGCGATGCAAACAAGACCGACATTCTTCTAAGCATTTATTAAAAGAGATTTCAAGTGCCTTTATAAAAAAAAATCCTAAAAGATTTTTTAAAATGCATATGTGAAACGAAGTTTATTAGAGGAAGAAATATCATAGCTTTAAGATGGCATACATATTATATAAGTATACATATTTGTTACCATCATTAGTTTTTTATTTTTAACAGCAATTTAAAACTAATTTCTGCTGTTTACATTTTGTGACCTTTATTCTAAAAATAACACACACACAAAAATGTATTTTGGAAATAAATTTAACACGATTTATTTGAAAGAAAAGTGCCTGTAGTTTACGATGACATAAAACCTGAAACTGGGCGATGACGGAGTACTTTTTATTTGAGTGGAAAAATGCCCAAAATTCATCAACTCCGCACAAAACATAAAATGAATAAAAACAATATCGAAAGTCCGTATTCAGGCATCAAGATGCGTTTGTTCGAATGCAGAATCATGTGCTTCAAAATTTGGTGTCTTTATGTGCCACGATCTCTCCCAGTGCGACGAAATCTTATTCATACTGTTGCGTTTCTTTCTTCTAACGCCATTTGTTACGTTATTTTCCTCCTTCACGTTCGTATGGGGTTCGTGTGGATTTGGAGTGAATAACAACGACACTTAATGAAGTATCGAAACACACTTTATTTAGCCAATATTAATCAAGACAGCTCAAAAATCACGTTTAACAGTCGCCGAAGAACTACTATACACACGCTGACACAATCAGCGACACAGCCTTCAGGTTATCAGGCTACAACGATGGAGACAGCTTCACTGCAAAGCACCAGAGTACAGCTTCCGACTCTGCTCGGTCGTTCTCGGAACTCCACGTACTCTCGAGACTCTCCAAGCTACAAGCTACTCTCCAAGCTACGATGCACTCGCGAGTTGTAGTTGCACAGAGCACAGCTCACGACTCTTCGGTTCAGTCATTCCCAGAGCTCAATATACTCTTTGGACGATGCACTAACCGCGATACACTAAGAGACTCTTTCGAAGAACCACTCGGCACTCGCTGCCCGGCTGTCAACTCGATCGACTCCGCACGGACTGACCATCTCGAGACTAATTATCTCGCACTCTAGACAAGGCACACACTAACTGACTGCGGACCAGCAGGGTTTATATAGCTTTTTGGCTTGTGTTCGAGAACATTCTGAGCTAAACCGGTAAGAATTCGTTCCAGAAAATTCCCCATCCGTCCGTAACATATCGCCAATTTTGTCGCCAACTGGGCGATTTCTCGCCAAACGTGGCAAACCTAAATCTGCTTTGCGGGAAAGCTATCTTACCGCGCCTGTACATTTCGTAACAATATTCGTTCACATATTCTTCATTTTATGATAACAGAAGTAAATATACTTCAGATATAAGGACGATGTATAGTGATATATGGCTTCATATGATGCTCATTATAAGCTGTTAATACATAATAATTACATTTCGCACTTAAAATAAATTTTATTTCACACTGATGGAATGCCAAGAAATTGTTCATTGTTTGTACGAAGTAAAACAATGAACACTTCCTTGTACGAAGTAAAAAGGAAGTATTGTAATCGCGAAAAGTTTCAGGCAGTATATTTCAACGAAAATATCCATTTTGACCGCTATCGAATGCAATTTAACGATGTTTTTGCGTGAGATCTGTACGTAAGGACAGCATAAAATACTCTTTTCCTTCAAAAAAATTATAAAACTGCTTTAAAATTAATTCTGAAGAGAATTTTTCGTGGCGTCTGTGCGAACGTATGTACGTACGTGAGTACGTACGTATCTCGCATAACTCAAAAACGAGTAGCCTCAGAACGTTGAAATTTTGTATATAGGACTGCTATAACATGTAGATGTGCACCTCGTATTTTGGTCGCAATCGGCCGCACCAAACGTATATAAATATATTTATATATATATCCACTCTGTTACCCGACTCAGTAATCTCACTTTCTTCACTCTTATATGTTTGTAAATTGTACATTTTTCGCTTTGAAAATGATTGAATTATGCTGTTTTTATCTTCCGGTTAAGGCTTTTATGCCTTTGGTAAATCTGTGTGCAACATTTTTAGAATTATCAGCAATTTTAAAGTTGTTTAATTGCCGCTAAGCCTGTTTTTAATGGCGGCCATTGATGTTTACGTTTGAAACAGGAGACTAGTGGATTTGTTGCCAATCTAGAGAAAACTTAGCTTCGCAAGAACAAAGATAACGTATTCATTTATTATTGCTAATTAAATCATGCTTAATTCTTCCTGGAATTTTTTTGAGGAAATAAGCGTTTGAGATTTACTTCGTAATTTTTAATATAGATATTTTGAGTTTTTATGTATTTTTGCCTTCTCGCGAAGTGAGAACTGAATTAATTAAATGAATTAATAGAAATACTCAATTGTCTGTGAAAAACTGTTTCTTTTTGTTTTGTTTGCTTAATTTCTTTTATACATAGTTCTAGCTTTATTATATTATTTGAATAGAACATGTGGCAACGATTAGATAATTCTTTAAATGATATACATTTTGTGCATTCTGAGTTATAATATGAATGAAATATAATATTGTTAAGTAAACCTAGCGCCAGAGTGTCGCTATGGTAAACAAAGTGAATTTTAAAGAATGCATTTATTCTATTGTGGTTTATGCGCTGTCGGCGAAGTAGGTTTAATTCAATCTAATAAGTGTAAATAAAATGCAAGAAAATTGCGTATAATGTAATATTCCGTACAATGAAGTCATGTGGTGTACACATCAGATTTTTTAATTAATATATTAACGTCTGTACATTTTGTGGGAAGACAGTTAAATTATAATTTAATGTAAGGAGCTTTTGGACAAATATTTAGCTGTTTTTGACGACTTCGAAGACTGCGTCAGAAGACTTTATTTCAGAACTGCAGTAAAATCTTCTATTTATTGCAGTTCAGCGTCAGAGTTTAATTAAACAATAACTAATTACGCTCTATTCTGATAATGAACTTCCTTATGTAGTACATAGTGTGAAACATGAAAGTGGTTATCCTAGCATGGGAGACTAAAGAGCGGATGAAGCGAAGTTCGGTCATTAACAATGGAAATTTCTTAAAATACATTAACATTATATATAGAAAAAATGACTGCTTTTCATACAAATGAAAGGTTTCTTTAGGAAAAACATCAGTCCTTGCTATTAGCCTTTTTCCATACTTCAAGCAACTTCCATGGGTAATACCTATAGATCGCCATCGTCTTCTTGAACAATGGAAAAATGGCTGTTAAGTTTACTCTAGAGTTGTTTGCCATATGGAATGTTCTTCCCGATTTAGATTTTAATGCTTTTTCAACAAATCCGTCCTATAATTACATTCTTTAAAATTCTTAAATTCATTAAAATTGCATGAATTAAAATTATATTTTGTATAATTTTGCATTGCTTTGAGTAATGTCTGAGTTTAATATTCTCGGGTTAGAAATTTAGATTTAAACCTTCTGTAAAAGAAATTTTGGACTTCAAAAATATTTATTGCAATTCTAATGAGTACTTAATTTTAATCAAAAATAGTAAAAAGAAATATTAATTTGATTTAAAACAAATAACGAAATCTATTATAACTTACGGAAGTGATTCAAGGACTTCTATCACGATGCTTTAAAATGAACATTAGGGAAGATGCAATTATAAGTTTCTGCTTTTATGCTAGATGGATATCAACAAAAAATTTATTAAATCTTATTTTATAAATACATATTATATATTTATTTTCTTTTTTGTATTTATTCAAATAAAATAATAATTAAAATAGTATCTTAAATAAATATATTTTACTCACATAAATGTATTTTATTTTTAAATTTTCAGTATCAATCCAATTTAATTATAAATTAAAACCTAAGCATTCCCCCCAATTTTTGTACGTTTGTATGTGGTTAAGTTATATATCAAAGATATCATTTAGATGAATGCCAATTGTTTCAAGTGCTTGATTTATTAAAAGTTGATCAATCGATTTGCTGAGATTTAAACATTCTATAAAGCGTCATCTCTAATGAGTGGAAACAATTTTTTAGTACGGAAACAACAGCAGTCTAGAAAACCAGTCTCTCAAGGCTCTTAATTCATTCGAAAGCAACTGTCTTTCACTATTAAGAAATCGTTCAACTATCGAACAAGTTACTTTTCAACAGCTACTAGTATACGAATGAATAGGTTTAGCGTTTAGCGAAATTGGCACGAAATTAGAGTTTATCTATATTTATAATGTATTCCTTTTTCTTCTTTTCCTTTTAGAGAGCTCTTAAGATGATGCTGTTTAAATGGCCTATAAAATCCAAATAATACAGCGGTTTTTTTCCGCACTGAACTTCAGTTTAATTGCTAATTGTTAAGCACCTGTTTCTGGAAAGACCAGTACAAGATGTAACTTTCCATGGGAAGCCCTAGAACATTCAGTTTACTCTATGGTAGTTTGCTTGTCTTGAAAAGAATGATAAGAAGTAACACCGATTTGCATATTTATGATACATATTGTGTATCTCGCTAGGTAGGTATGATACATATTGTGTATCTCGCTCTCTAAGTAGGTAAGTGAGAGCCTGTATTCCCAAGAAGGTTTCTTGAGGGGGCTACAGATCCAGACGAGCCTACTTTAAAAGGTCTGATTTCTCTTAGTTTGTTTGATGGATGAATTTTTTAAATGTGAAGATATTGTGTTTTCAGATTGAACTAACATATCTGTGTACTTGTAGATGTCAGGCTATTGAAAATTTTGAGAATGTCTTAGGGTGCTATGTTCCAGCATGCCATCTTCTTGTCTGAAACTTCTAGAAATTTATATCTGGCTTTCTAGGAAAAGGGTGTTAATCCTAATGAGTTTACCAAATTAACTTGAAAATAAGATTGTCTCACGTATAAAACGAAGTTGTATTTCTTCATAAATGTATCACAAAGGAAAGGAGGACTCAAATAGATGAGCTGAATTCGTTGAATTTGTCTGTACGAGGTAAACATTTAATTGATCTAGATATCATAACTGGAGATAAAACAAAGCGATTATATCTTAGTTTAATGTAAAAGAACGGGGATAAGTGATGGAAAGCAATGTCTTTTACTTTGGCTGAGAACCTGCTTACCCTTGCACCCATATTAATCGTTGTATCTAGAGCAAGCTGCGGTTGCCGAGTAACCCATTTCATAATTTCAAACGAACTACTTGAGTTCCGAAAATATAATGTATAAAAATGAAATTTTCATAAAAATATGAAACATTACTTTATATGATCGTTATAAAAAATATGAGTTTTTTGTAGGTTTGAATATGTGTAGGAAGAATTTAAATTTCTGCTTTAGAGTTACGTTTTCAAATGCTTTATGTAAAATCATAGATAAATGCTAATTTTAGATTCATTTAGAACTATATTTTTTTCTCTTTTTCGTTTATCGTTCCTTTAAATTTAATTTTGAAGTGAACTACTTTTTTCTTTAATCATACTTTTTTACTAATATTGTTTAATTTACTAAAACAAACAGCCCCCTCGTTAGCTTAATGTTTTTCTTTTACTTAACAGAGAAGCAGCCCATATATTAGAAAATAGGCGTTGGGACGATGAGGAAGATAAACGACATTATGAAAGTGGAGTAAGGATGGGGCTTGGAATCTTTTATTTGGTGAGTTCTGTTTATTTCTGAGAGCTCTCAAATTAAGATCTTACATTATATACTATAGTTAATTGTCCTATTTTATTTTAATAATACATTAAAACTTTAGAGAAGATTATTAACGCTCGTTCTTTCACTTAAAAAGAAACATTTTTTATAGCTATTTTTCAGTTATGATTTATTTTAGTTCTATGATTCAAATAATTAACAGTGTAATAAATCTCTAGATGATTATGCGCGTGAAGAAATAACGTAGTCTTTATAAAATGTCAAACTAAGGCTGTAATTGTGTTTTAAATTAAATATAGACTGCACCAAGTAATATGGGAAGGTGTACCACGCATATTACTTGGTGCATTACAATATATATAACATACTTAAAAACATTACAATGTATATAACATACTTAAAAAGATGTGCTTTTCCATAAAAAATCATGTCCCGCATTCAGAGAGGTATGGAAGTGATGCAAGTTTGTTATGTCTTCTGCACTGAAAAAAGAAAGGCTAGTGAAATAATGCTTCATTTATAATTTCAGGTACTTCACTGTTTGATTCAATATGTGACTTTAAATGTCGCCCGATGATACAGAAGATTTCATTAACACCGGGACAATAATAAAACAGCTCGACACAATTAAGCAATTTCTATGTGTTCATTTGTTCAAAAATTACGATTCCGATGTTTTCATTTAACTAAGATGTAAACGAATAGTTTTTCCAGGAACTTTCCTTTTCCTCTGAGATACGTATAAACGAATTAATATCACGTTAGGAAATGCGTCTGAACGATAGAACTAATTTCGTATAACAAGTATAATAAATTTTTCAAGATGCTATCCAGTGGATTCTTGTTAATTCAAAGTCATGAAAATTATTCGAATTATCAGGAGTGTATTTTGCTATCACATCACAAAATCAGCATTTTGTAACGTGGCTCCAACGAATCAAAAGCACAAAAGACGCTTGTACACTGTGGCATCGAATCAAAAAGACGCTTTTATTACTGGGATATTTCATACCAGAGAGCCTTTATTGCCATACTGGTATTGGCTGCAGGAGGAGAAAGAGATGGACCAGTCACTGATTGTCCATACTCCATATATGTTCAATAGGTGATATGTCTGGCGGACAGATATGCCAGAGAAGAAAAGGGTTTTGGCTGTTCTGCATTCAAAGCTTCAAAAATCTGAGCAATATATAATTAAGCGTTGTTTACTGAAGGAAGGATATGACCCTAGCCTTTCCCTGACATAGACGCTACTGTTGAAAGTATTATCAATTCGTAGCAGAATGATTCCGCTTGGAGCTACCCATATTGCCTCGAGCTCTAAATAGCGTGCTGGAAGATGATGCTTACTTATCACAACTTTACTTATCATAAAACACGATCTATTATTAATCCACATGTTGCTGTCCGAGTTGAAACGCCCGTTTTGTACTAAGGCGTCGGTAATTCACAATCAAGGAAACACCTTGCAAAAGAGTACTTATATGCAGCCTTTTTGGCTCTGACGCCATCGAATTGTGGATGTAAAAGTACCATATTTATTGAAGTACTTCAAAAGTAAGCGATACTGCGAATACAACAGTATTGCGATAAGGAAAATTCCTTCACACTCACTGATTATCCGTCATCGTTAGAACCCATAGTTGGTTTCCTTGTACATCTTCTGACATCTATGAGGGATAATGACATCTATAGGATTTTCAAATAGTAGTATAGGATAGTTTCAAGAGGCAGATAAATAATATACGGTCAAACAGCCGACTGACCGTATATTATTTATCTGGCTCTTCAAAACCCACCTATCACGCGCTTCACACAGCACTGTTGTGTCTAGGCATGCGCATTCATTTTGAATTTGTTGATTGTTTGTCACACTCTGCTTTGCATTTCGATTACATTTAATTCTATGCTTCTGATTACTTAATGTTACTGCAGTTTTGTATAATATAATGCACATGCCAATGAATATCTGCATATAATATCATGCATAAATTAAGAATTTATAAAATGGATAAATAAGTTGAAGTATTTGATACAACCCAAAAATTTTTGTTAACCATCTATCTGAGATATTTATTCACAGAGATAAATCATATTTAGAGTATGTCCCATATGAAAACTCCAAAAGTATTTTTGCAATTCAGCCTGATAAGTAGCGTACAAAATATTAATGTATAAAAATCTTTCCCTGACAGAAGACAGATCTTCTGTTTTCTAAAATCTTAAAATGTAGAAGTTCATTAGAATTCAATTCAAATGTTCTTGCGGGTTCAGTACTTTCTCAAATCAATAGCGGCTTCAAGAGGGTTGAGTTATGGCGACCATCTTGGCCTCCGAAAACAGAAAGATGCAATGACGAATAATAAAAAATTTTTAGAACACCAAAAAATCATCTTTTGCAAAACGTTGTGGCATGGTTTCGCTATTTTTTGTTTTTAGAGGAGGATTCCGAAAAGATTATTGTAAGGCTAGTCCTGTCTGAAACTATTAAGAGATGCTAATTGTACAGAAATATAATACTGCCTTAAGTTTTATCTAAACCTAAAAACTAAACTCAGTGGCGTAACAGCCCTAAAGCGTGACGTGCCTCTATATCTGCTTTCTTGACTGTGTGCCCAAATAAATTTGGTGCTCATTTTATCGACCCATTCAAGGGATGAAAGGCTGAGTCGACCTTGCCCAGCCCGGGAATCGAACCCCGGACCTGTGGTGCTGAGCCACCGGACTTAAGTTTTATCTAATGTTACATATTTTATCTATGCCGTCTTATTAACATGTAAACAAAGGGAATTACGATTTTTGGACATAGTGAAAATAATCATATTTTTCATTTGCTTGGCTAACTTCGGAACTGGATTGATTTCCTTATTCTTTAAAGAAACATTATTTCGTTTTAGTTCCTTTAATAAGCCGGTGATAAGCCGAATGGAGCAACTAAAATAAGAAAACATCGGAAACAGGACTCATCTTGACATGTTTCTACGCTATACAGTATTAAATTTCTTCAACTCTGCAAAATATTTTCTTTTGAAATATACTACACTTTTCCTTCATAAAGAAGCTAAACCATTTAATGAAAAAATTTCGATTATCAGATATTCATTCAATTATCAGATATAAACATTTTTCTTTATTTTTGCCATATTATTTCTGGTAATCAGTTATAGTTTTATACATATCTAGAATATATACTGCTAAGAAATGTCCATGATTTTGAACTTGAAGAGACTTATGAACAAAATCGCATGCTGATTTCTCTGGTGTTTTAAATATTATTGAATACTACATTTAATCTATGAACATCTGCTTTGATCATTTTTGTCCTTTTTAGGTTGTTTCACATTTGCCAACAAGAATCATCCGAGTTTTAGAAATGATCGGCTTCTGCGGTGATAAGGTAAGTATGTTTTTGTTTTCATAACATGCATTATTGTAGCTGAAACAAGGAGTCATGGAGTTTTCTAATCTTTTGATAATAAGACATACACACTGCATCTATACAGCTTTAAATTCATTAATTTAATACTTAAAGAAACGCTAAATTCATACACAAATGAAAGTTGAAGTCAGTAATAGTCTTATTTCTTGATAAGCAGTGAATGATGAAATGATTCTTTAATAAGCAGTACTTGTATGTCTATAAAACACAGAGAACCCTCAAACAAATGTTTCATTCTATCGTCATATGCTTTATTACATCTTCTGGAATACTGTTTAAGTCTCTTGTTATAGTTTTCCCAGTATCTTCATTGTTATTAAAATAGTAACCTTTGAGATGAGCTTTCATGTTAGGGAAAAGAAAGTAGTCTGCAAGTACCAAATCTAGTGAATGAAGAGAAGGGTTAAGTTGACAGCTGTGACACTTTTCTTTATTAAACACTGCTTGACAAGAATAGAATTGTGTGACGGAACACTGTCATGCAACAAAAACGAGGTCAGTTTGAATGCCCAGCGCGCATCAGACCAGGAGCAAAAACCGGATATTCGACTCAGTTTTTTTCAGGCCTAATGCTCTGGAAGGTCTTTCCATTACGTCTTTATAAAATATAGATCCGCATCTCGGTAACAAATTCCTTGTGAATAATCTCTATCCAGTCAAAAAATATCACCAACATGGCCTTTACTCAAGATTTTAAAATCTAAATCTCTTTGCAGATGCTGAACCTTTTTTGTACCAAAGAAACGCTGGTGTTAATACTTGATCCCCGCATATTTTATATAATACTTCAAGTGTTTATATTACTCTTTTTTTCACTTTACAGAAAAAACTTTGTTCTTATTCTTTTCTTAACGAATCCATGACAGCAGTCATTCATTAGATCAAAGCAAACGATTAACTGCATAGGAAATTCTGTTCATAAGGGGACGATATTTTAGGAAAAGCAAACTGAGATAGTATGGATATAAATGCTGTAGGTTATTATTTGGCAAGTTTGCTAGAATTTGTTTAGAAAAATTAGTCTTAACAGTTTATATATGCATTGTGGATTATATTGAAAATTACATATCATGGAGATAAAATGCAATTTTTTAGATGGTTTTACCCTAATATTCTTCAAAACTAATGTTTGATCGTACCGCATTATCAGGGATCGTTCACATCTGGGCTTTATGGTTTTAAGTTATACAAGCCGAGCTTCGTTTTTAGGCAACCAGCCTTTGCTACGTCACAGAAACTGGTACAAAGATTTTGCTTAAATGCTCTAGCTGTTCAACATTATGCAAATTTGGTTTAAGAACTGACGAATTACAGTGAAGCAAACACAAACTGACATTCGGCGGAAAATTTTGCTGAGTCAGCTGTACATTTACGCATGCGTAACTTTACTTTTTTTGATTGATTACAGCTTAAATCCTGTTCCACAAGTGTGTACAGACTTAATGACTTTTACGCCTTAAGCTTATAACGACTAAAAATGACGACCTTACCATCGAGCATATGCTTCTTCATGTTATGCTGTCTTAAATTTTCTAATAATATTTCATTCCTATTAAAAAAACGTGGAAAATATACTTTTTTAAAGTATAGGAAGTCTATATATTATTTCTTCAAGGTCTATTAACTGCATACTGAAAATTAGCACATGAAAAAAGTTAAATGCGCTTTAAAATCAAATTACTAAATGAACTTAAGTTATTAATTAATCATTAAACTAACTAGGAAAACTGTGTAATTATACGGAAAATCCGAACACTTTCAAACATATATTCAATGATCATTTAAAACATGCGTTATGGTAGATTTCAATATGGAACTCCGTTAAGATTTAAATATACTATGTTATCATCTTTGCGGTTTCGAAAAATCTGCCGATAATAAATATCTATAAACAGACAAAGTTCTAGAGATTCTGAAACGGAGATTAAATATCTATAAACAGACTACGTTCTAGAGATTCCAAAACGACAGTGTCCACTCTGGCATCACAGTTCATAAGGTCCATCAATATTCATAACTGTAGGACTTGTAAAGTTACTTAATTTACCTGTATAATCTGTAGACCAAAGATAGCTAGTACTTTCAGATCCATTATACCTTGGAGTTCCTGAGTTAAATTATAATTACTTCAGAACAGGATACAAGGATAGAAATAGGAATACAAGCAAGATTTCAGGAATAAAGCTCAGCTTTGTGTTACCAGTTTACAACTAGCGATATCTTTGACAATAACTGCTATATTTTCTTTATTAATTGATGCCGCTTATGTACAAAACAAATCAGCTTTTATAGCTGGAATGATATTCTGAGACCCAAGCGATGGAAAAGGGGAATCTACCAAAGCTCACATTAAATAACTTAAAGAACACAGTCTCATCTTTTCTAAAATAAGATTAGACTTCAAAACTTTCTGGAATAACACAACTCGTAAATATTTCCCAATCCCCCTTTTCAGCTTTGAATGAAAGCACTCTAGAGGCTGTCAGTTTGATCTGCCGTTTGCCACAAACAAATGACGGTTTCTGCGCTCTTGACCGTTCTTCATATTTCTCTCAGCCAAGTTTATGAATAATTATGTTCTGGTGTCAGTTCGAAAGGATTTTACTTTCGCTAGGTCAGGGTGGGTCAAAGATAATGCGGAGTGTCCTACTGACCATAAATGTCATTTAAAAGGAATGAGTCATATGCATGACAGCTTGTTTGACTTCAGCCATTTTTCTATTTATAATAAATCCAATGTTTACCCTATTTAAAAAATCATTTCTCCAATTCTAAAAGCAAAACTCTTTTAAATGAGCTTGTATGTTGCAACATATACAGAGAAAATTTTAAATATTTTTTTCTACTGTCAATCTAGAGCATATTTTAAAATAAATATTTTTTGTCTGACGAATGTTAAAGTAGTAAATAAATTATTTAGAAACGTTTAACAGTCAGAAACAAATTCCTTCCAGGTAAATTGTAAATGGCACGAACGGGAGAACAATTTAAATAATTAAAAAAGTACATTTACGTCTTTAGAAGCAGCTTGACAGGCCGCGAAAAGTTAATCATGTTTTGTCTGACTTTGTAGCGAGAAATGGCATCACGATCATTTTAACAAGGTCAACATGAGTTTCTTAAGTAAGATAACACGTGCATTCTTGACAACCAAGTTAAAATAATTAAGTAATCTTAACTTAGTGTACTGAAATACAAGAGTGTTTTATTATGTAGGAAGTATTTATGTAAAAATTAATAATTGTTTTATAACATTTAGGATACTTAATAAAAAGACGTTTCATTTCTTGCATTATGTTGCATTGATAAGCTGTTAATTAGACTTCACTGACAGTGAAAGTTACATAGGTGTAAAAAAATTAATAGCCTATTATAGCCGATTCCTTACTAGCCGGAGCTGGAATGACCGGGTTGAAGATTAGCCTGGCCCTATATAAAAAATGTTATTTGTTTATTGCTCAGCGATGGAAAAATTATTATTACAAATCATAGTTCTTGTTAACAATTAATTATGTGTTAATTTTAATATGGGTTATTGTACTTTCTAGAATTTTTTAACTGCACTCGGATTAACCATGATTTTTGAATTACCCGTGGTTTCATTCCTGGTACTATAAATTTATAAGGATTTAATCGTACTCATATATTTTAGATCTGTACATTTAATAAATCCCGGTGGATAGAATTACAAAACATTATTAGGAGACTTATGCTTGCATTTCGCTGATTAAAATACCAGCATTTTCTTTTATACTATAGGCGCTTTTAAAAGTGGGTTTATTCAGTAGTTAGTTGTAATAAGTTGTAGTAATCATATATACCTGATTGTCATGTTAAAAGGCATGTCAAATTTCATGTGTATAAGGACAAGAAGAGAAGAATAAACAACATGGAGGCAAGTAAATATGTTAATTTCAACAAAGCAAACACTGGGTTTTGTGAACAAAATAGTATAGCACGTATATTAGTGCAATTAAACAGAGGAGGCAGAATGAGATATAAATTAGCATGTAATCGATAACACATTTGTGGAACACAGCGTAATTACCTTTAATTGGTGTAATTCTAAACTACATTGAGTGCTATAGCAAATGTTGACTATTTGATACTACATTTCAAACTGTATATTAGACCACGAAATTTTAAGTTATCCATATTTGCTCTAATGGCTGCATTAATAACTTTGAGGGGCTTCTGAACAGAAATTTTCTCATTTTCTCAGCAATTTTTGATGCATGTTCTGTACAACTATCACGTGTTTTAAGTCAGTACGAATCATATGTGCATACATTCGTATAAAAGATCTTTTAATAAAGATGAGATATAAATATCTTAATTTAAGGTTGGATTATTTTCTTGGAAGCAAGATGACCAATGTTTTCCTATTCTGTTCATGTACTATAAATGGTGCCATCACACAGCATGCGTCTAAATGATCTAAACGATTCAAGATTAATTTATATTCTGCATTTTAATTCTTTTAAAAAATTAGTACATGGAATTCTTTTTTAAACTGGAAAAACAATTCAGACCCAAACGTTTTTTACTGACGAAAGATGATTTTCTTCAAAGTAATATTTGTTTATTTCTGGCGACTAAAATGTGAAAATTTCATTTTATATATTTTACATTACTCATCCTCATTGAAAATACAGGGTTAGCTTAAGTTAATACCTTCAAAGTTTTAAATAAATAAGATTTTCGTAGCAAAGTCTACATGGTTAAAGGAATATGTTTTGAAATTTAAAAGGTTAATTTATAAATGATCTATATGTGATCCATTTATAACATGATAAGATAACACTGATATAGTGCAATTTTTCCAAATATGTCTGAGCATATCTATGTCAAAAATCGCAGCCCCTGTTATTAAAAGTTGTTTAAAATCTTTCAAATTAAGGAGAGGCGTAAAAAGTTATTTCTTGATCAGAAGTAATCTAATGGAACTAAATGTTAACTACTTGGCGGCCGTAACATGCCAATGTCATGTTCTGGTCTGCTGAGCGGTCACTCCAATTCTGAATCAAATTTACATCCATACCGTGTTCTAAAACGGCAGCTATAGATAATAGTAACAAAATTTGTTGTTGCCTATTCAACTACACAAAAAGATTTTTCTATCCGATTAATGACCATGTCACTAGGCTGACGTCAAGAGTTATCCCGAGACGGCGATGTTACAAAAGCAAACGAAAAGAGGAGGTTATAGATTTGAAGGCTTCCTCTGTAAAATGCTACATTAGATGCTTCCAAATAAAAACGAAATAAAACTTTTTAGACTAATCCTTTATTTTTCAAGCACTAGCTGTGTTAATACGTAATTATTTTACTTTATATATTTTATGTCCTAGAAAAACAGCTGTTAAAGGATATATATATGTATAAAGTGCATTTTCCCCCAAATTTAATTAATTTCTGTATTTAAAACATGTTTTTTAAAATTCCGAACTTAATCAAAACTGGGAACAGGGCATCGTTATTAGCAAGAAAGGTAACAGGGATAAACAAAGGCTTCGTTAAATAGCAGAAAGCTGATAAAAACCTGCCAGGAATTAATTTACCGGAAGCGGCGTTTCAGAGAGGGAGGAAAACTCTGTAATGTGAAATGGAAATTTACAAGCTCGCTTTAATTACCAATGTCAGTTACTTTGCCGCTAAAATAAATCATGGAGCAATTAAGATGCGGTGAAACCTATTTATTACCAGCTGACACTATTCAGCAGGGTATAAAATTAGCTGCAGATTGTCGCTGAAAGAGGAAATTCTTAATCAGTAAAATGACACGATCTACTCTTAGGTATTTGTTTTAACTAAACTCTGCTAGTTCTCTGCAAAAGGTTAAGTAGCTTGAATTGTTAATGTTCTGCCGAAGTTTCCTACACAGAAGTTCCCCATAGAAAGTGATGACACCTCTGTGCAAACTTCTGTAAATCAGAAATTCCCACATCGGGGCAAAGGAATAAAAGGCCGGTACCTTTTGAAATCAGTTTGCAACTTCAGTAAAGTAACCGTCACAAAACGTCCACTCTTATTATACCGAAATACCTTTGTGTAGATATTTTTTAGTTTACTACTACGGTTAAAGAGGCAAAAGCTTTTCCTACTTGCGTGCATCGTTTACCTGTCTTTAGCGAATGAACGCCTGGGACACAAATTACCATTAATGGACGAGTACACTGTATAAACAAGATAACCTACTTCCCCATATTATAAATCCATTTTTAGTTACAAACTAAAATAATAAAGCTATCGCATTCTTCAATTTTAATAATTTTGCCTTTTGAAGATCATAAAAAATACAGAATAAAAGTGGGCAAATTAATTTTCTTCAGTCTTAGTTTGAAAATAATAACATGTAGAGACATTAGGTTATTTTGAAGCCGGAGAGATGAAAAATTAGCAACGCCTTCGCCGGGAATCGAAACACGGACCTCTGAAATACCGGCTCAGTGTGCTGACCACGAAGGCACGCTAGGAAGGCAAGAGAAATACCTTACATACTCCTCCTTTTAAAGGGCAACTGGGGTTTTTAGGGAACCCAAACGCCAAATCCTGGGTGTGGAGAGTCCTCATCCACAACCCTTTTAGTTCGGGCGTCACTGTAGAGACATTAGGAAATTTTTTGGAAGCAAGCCGATGAAAAATTAGCAACGCCAGGAATCGAACCACGGACCTCTGGAATACCGGCCCAGTGTGCAGAACCACTGCATCAAAGGCACGCTAGGAAGGCAGGAGAAATACCTTCACTCTCTTATATATTTAATTATTTTTTGTAGCAGTAAAATATTGTGCACTCATTTTGCAAAATGATTAAGAGAGTATGTGATCCTAAATACAAATATTTGTTTAACCAAAGCAATGAATCATGTCATAGTAAGGCTTATTTTGCATTTGTAATTATTTAGAAATCATTTAGAAGTTAATTATTTAGCAATGAATCGCAATTGATCTCTCATTATCTGGACAGCATCATGAAAAGTAGAATGCATGCGTAGCGCTTTAGAACGATCTGATGGCCTAAAGGAATTCGAAGTGCTTTACAATGTATGAACGGAGACTGAAATTTTGCTATTTAACTTAGAATGTTCTTGTATTAGTTTTTAATTTACGAATACAGTGAAACCTCGGGTATAAAAGCTTTTCGTTAAGTACAAATTTTCCACACAAGAAACGGCATGTATGACGAACTGTATTTCGAGTCACGCAAGCCAGCAAAAAATAGTAATTCAAATATATTTTTGAGGTAATCTCTGCCTAATTAATTAAGAGTCAGAGACTTCTGAAAGTAGAATTTAGCAAAGTATTCTGAATTCTTATTTACAATGCCTACTAGCATGTTAGGAGGATGTATTTATCCTGCAGGAGCATGTATTTATCCTGGAGGAAACATTGACTGTAATTAGATGGGAAGCACGGACCTTGGGCTTATATACTCGGGATATTTTTATTATCGATGATATTGTATCTTCCGAGAAAAATCATGGACCTAGAAGTTATCTTGAAGATTTGAAGAAACAATAAGTATGAGCGCAGCAAGGAAGAATAGGAACAATTTCAAAAGAAGCAGCGAAAGACGCTAGTGGTAATATTACCTTCAGAGGAATAAGGATGGAATGGAATATGATTTTAATTTAAGATTCGAAAAATTTGTACAAAATGGGCTGAGATACTTGGAACAATACCACGCTAATGGAAAAACAATAAATATCAGAAAAAAAACGTTTTTCTGCATTAAAGCCGTGTCCCACTTTGAAAAGGTTTGAAAACATAGACAAAAATAAATTGGAAACATTTCTTGTGATACAGGTAGCCCAGGGATTCAGTAGCAGTATAGGGTGACACTAAAAGGCAAAGAAGAAGAAGAAAAGATATGTCTCAGAAAGATTGTTAGCTAGGATTTTACAGAAAAGAACCCCCCTTATGTATAACACCACTTCTCTTCTCTCCATGTTTTCTCAACTCTGCTATGCACTTGAGTAAAATTAAATTAAATTTTACGTCTGTTTTATATGCTCAGTATTATGTTTATATTTTTTGTCTTATATTTAATGATTTACACTAATTTATGTTATAAACTTTTGTACAAAGTACTGTTTTTAAAGTTTAACTGCTCAGTCATTCATGTCCAGGTACAAATTTATCATTTTTGCACGAATTTCTACGGGAAGGGGGGAATGCTTGTGGTTTCCGACGCTTCGACTGCGAAACGACCTTTAGGAACGATTCACGTAACAGTATTGTTGGAAATAAAGGAGTGCTTATTACTTGTTAAAAAAGGACAATTGAATAATTTGTTTTACAACGTGCGATTGAGACTAAGAAAGGAATTTTTTTTTATGAAATAAGCTTTTATTTGAAATTTATAAAACAATTAATGAACCCAAAGGAGGAAAATAATATATCATACAGTTTAATGGAGACAAAAGAGTAAATATTTTTTTTAAGGAAATTCATCTACAATTTTACATTAGACATAATAAAAGCGTAGATGCCTAAATAATGCCTAAATAAAAAATGAATCTTATAATCAGATTGCATTTCAAAAGTTTAAACAATTATCTTTATAAATTTATCAAGAGCGCTCCACGCTTTTATAACTAGTGGTATAAAATCGCAGATGAATTTTGTAAAGAGAATTATTTAATCATTTGTTTTATGAAATTATCTGGTAAATTTTTAGTTGATTAATTATTTTGTAAATTTTAAATAAACGCTACGCAAATTATTTTACTTTGTTTAAATATTTTTTTTATTTAAATAATGAATTAAAAACACTGGAAAAATTTGAAGCGGAATTAAATTCCCCCCCCCAAAAAAAATTGCAGGTACAAAATTGTATAAAAATAAAAAGCAAACATCTTTTTATTATTATTTGAATCTTTTCTTTTCAGGAAATGGGTTTGCAGTACATGTATGATTCTGTTGCTCTAGAAGGATCTTTAAGAGCACCACTCACAGCTCTCTTTCTTTTGTGCTATAACACTATTATCACATACCTATTTGGTAAGTTATTAAGTCCTTTTGTGAATGCATTAATTGATTAAGTACAGAACTTTTATTAACTAATGTGAATCGAATAATCTGATTTAAAATGAAAGCTAGGATACTAAATATAATGCTAGCGACTAAATAAAGAAATGTATCAAGAATAAAAGAATACAAAACGAATTTTTAAACCATTAACAATTTGTCATGATTGCCATGGCAACAAGTATCAAAATATTCTGCTGCTATTAAAAAAGTCTCATTTATATTTTATTTAAGCTTAGATCTTATTTCGAATAAATTCAAATGATTTTAAGTGAAATTCGTAAGTAAAAAGCCACTTCAATAAAAATTTCTTTCTTTTCGCAAATTATAAAGCATCCTATCTATATGGAAGATGGAAGCACATGTGTATGTGCGTTTTTACTTTTTATTTTCTATATTTTCAATACCAGTATCATATAAAAACTAACTGTGATGTACATTTTCATTTTTTCTATTTGTTTTTAAAATGCGAGATCTGGAATTTTCCCTCATTTTCGTTTTCCTTTTTTATGAAAGAGATACAATGCAGCACTTAATAATATGACTTATTTCGAAAGTAACATATTATTGCGTTTTTCCTTGTCTGGTAAATGCAATCATTCGAATGAATCTGTCTAATTTCTCATGTAGAACTAACGCGAAATTCTAAATTTGTCTCATCTTGCCATCATAGATTGTAAATTAAATTATTTTTACCAAGTGAAATATAAGGAAACTAATGGGGTAATACTAAAAAAAATATATATATTCTTTTTTTCCCGTAAAAAAAGATTACGTAACCAGATCGCATTATAGAGCTTTTGCATAATACAGATAATATAATCAGATTATAGACGTTGTTAATCTCGCTAAATGAAGTTGATACTTAGTAATCCTTTGAATATGGATATTGAAGAAAAGCTTTTAAGGCCAAAAAATTAAGTACATTCTTCGGAAGTCTTATTTAGAAGTTGAATAAGTTATTCGGTTGTATTATGTGTATAAAACTCAAAGTTGAAGTGAATATAGAACTTGAAAAAAAAATTGTTTGCATATACTGTTTGTGTATTGTTTGCTTCCTCATCAATAATCTTCTAAAAATTATTAATGAGAAGAAATTTTTATATCTTACTGAGATGTTTTAGAAAATGTTTCAGTTAGTGCGAGTAGAAAAAAAATCGAGAAGAAATTATTAGATTATTTTGAGTATTAGCAATAACATTACGGAACTAGAGGAAAATACTAGTTTGAACTTTATGACGAAATACCCTTCTTTAGTCATCATAAGTAATTCAAGAAGAGGAACTAAATTGCTAGCGAATAATAATTAGTATCAGCGAAGATTGCACTGGTAAGTTTGGTAACTCTAAAACTACCATAAATGTTTTACATCGATAAAACAACTACAAATTCGTCAAACTGACAATTATTGGTAGTTCTAGTGTTTAAATTGTAAGCTTTTTAAAATTAAATTAATCGTTTTCTAAAAAAAATGCATGGTTTCCTAATAATTTAACGGGTGTCCGTAAATATAGGCATATAAAAGTGTCGGTAAACCTAGTGTTAATCCGTGGGCAGTTCAAAGAACACAGGAGAGAAGAATAACTTATAAATATAGGTAACATAAAAATATGTTAACAATTTATTTGTATTTTCGTAAAATCAGTTTAACAATCAAATAAATTTATTTGGTTGTGCAAATTAAATCACTAATCAAAACAAAAATAACAAACTGTAAACAACGGAAAAATCAACTTAATTAGAAATTTAAGAAAATAAGTTATCAAATGACATTAAAGAACATTATTTGCAGGAGAACGTAAACAGCATCATTACGTTCAAACCTGTGTAACATTGTCGGTCAGAGCTTTTTATTTTTTACTGTACAATTCTTCTGAATTCTAGATTAAGTGCCATTAAATTGTATAGTGGTGGGGATTAAAACTGTTCTCCTGTCACTGTTGTTATCCCACGAAATTTTTATTTTCATTTTTTCTATTTTTGTAGAGCTTTGTTTTATGTTGATGGTTTCTGACAGCAAGTTTTCCGTTGTTCCCCTCTACATAAACTGAACTATTTTTTTAGGCAAAGCCCAGTTAATCTACATGCCAGTTTATTTAATCCACGTGGCTTAACAAAAAGTTATGGTGGTTTAATCTGCCTCCCGTTAAGAGGGAATTTATGTTTTTTTGTAACAACCTTTTTTTCTTTCTGCCTAATGGGACCATCCTTTGGTTAAAGTTCGGAAGAACGCTCTAATATTTCTCATTGGCGGAGAAAGCCATCTTTGTGTAATTTAAAATAAACAATGGCATCAATAAGCTCAAATATGAATTGATTATGATTATACCGTATTATATTAAATTTCATTTCTGTTTCTTGCCAAAAATAAAGTATCGTTCTGAAAATTCAATATATGTTTAGGTTTGGCGGATGGAGACTTAGTGTCATCCGAATATATCGTGAAAAATATGCTCAAGCGTTACCCGAGGGTAAGTAGTAGCTTTAATATATCATTGCTAGATAAAGCGAATAAACTATTTAACATCTTATATGAAAATATTTTACAAAGGTGTTTAACAACTGTTTGCTGTTATAACTATTGTTGCGACTTATCTAACTTATCTGATAGTAACATCAAAATAAGTCCATTAATTTTGTCTAAGAGCTCAGGATTGCATTATCGTTGACATGAGCCTAGGCAACTTGTGTGTGAGAATACGGCTTTACCCAGTTATGTTTTAAGCTTGACCGAGGACCTTCTGGACACGAGTTGAAAGGGTAGTCACGCTAATCATTATACCTATCAGAGTGGAGATTACTCATTTTAACTTTTGTTTCTGACTTTATCATGCAAAAACACTGCATTTAAGCTACAAATATTATGCAAATATTAATATTTTTATGGTTAAAGTACTTTTATAATACGTATGAAAGAACTGATAATTTTCATCACAAAGTAAGAATTCGTTAATACGAAATTTTTTGTTGAGTCAAACATATAAAAATTGCTTTAAACGATAAATTCTAAGTACATATTATAGCCATGAATTCAGTTTCATATCAGGTTACTCTATTTTTACATCTGTTTGTAAGGTTTACGAAACTGAAACTTTAAAACTTTTGAACTGATCTGCAGGCTGATGTGTTGCCAGTGTTTGGATATAATTTCCCGTATCAGCTTTAGAGCAGGTTTAGATAAGAGAAACTCAAGTTGTTAATCAGCAGTAAATAACTTGTGTAAATTTTATAAGGTATCTTGCATATATATCGGTATTTGAAGACTAATCTCGTTCTTCTTAATTCAAATTTAAGCTTAAATTCAGCTCCATGGGTAAGATCTTATACTCAGTATGGAATATACATCGACAAATTTGGTTATTAATGGTAGGCAGGATTTATTTACGTTATACTGGTAAATTAGTATAGGCTATAGCTCTTAGATATAACTTTAGGTCTTAACCGATTACCAAAAAGAAAACAGAAAATAATGGAGAGAAATAGAAACAGACCGCTTAGAAAATCAACATGAAAATAAATGCTCGTAAAACTCTTCATTTCTAACTTACTGCAGGCATCTTTTATGTATTCAATTACATGAGCTTAAGACACTTTTTTAATCAACTCATCTACAAACGTTCTATTAAAGCATAAGTAATATTAGAGTAGTAATTACGAATCTCATACCCACCTATGGTTAGATCTACTTATCGCCATGTGCCTGAGACGTTGAATACTGATAGCTCGATTCAGGTATGAATCCCAAAGAAAGGTCTGCCTGCTTAAAGCACACATGTATAACGTAAATACGAGTTAGTTTTCATTAACGTATTAAGTATCCTTCTCCTTCAGCAAAGAGCTCGCCTGTATGTTGCCTTATACAAATAAATAAATACATAAACCGAATACTAAAATTTAATTGACTTATGATGATGATTACTTAATAGTTCTCTGTTATTTAAATAGTTATGAATAACTATTTAAGGTTTAAAGATTATCATTTGCTATCTCTATTAACACGTAAGAACAATAAATCAGTGTTAGTTTCCTGACGTTTTGGTTTTATAATATCTTTGAGTCGCATAGGGTTCAGAACTAATTGAACTTTCCGTTTTCTTTTTTCTTTTTCTTTTTTTTTTTTTTTTTAATTCTGTATTAAAGTTTTTCAATGCAATCCACGAAAATGAACTTCTGTTAACCAGGATTTTTGGATTATTTATAATTCCATTTCCAGTTCAGACATACTAATGATTTCCAAACACCTTGTTCGGAACGAATTATTTATTATTAGCGATAGCTGTTTAAAGCACAGACATGCAGCATTACCGTTAATACTTTTTCTATGTTTTAGTACCATGCTCATTAAACCATTTGAATATCAATAATTTAATATTTATTGGTCGATAACAAAGACTCCTCGCAATGACTCATCCCATAACAAAGACTCAGCAATGTCATAAATGTTTTTGAAATTATCATATTTTATTTAGAATGCTGACTATTGAAATTACTCTACGAGGGATGCTGGAGTATAAATAGGAATTTAAATGCTTAGTTTTGCAAAGAGTTCAACGCAATCATGAGTCATTTGGGAAGCACATAGATATTTAAATTTACCCATACTAATTTCTCTTTTCATCACCCCTGTCAGCTGTAATCAACATGTCAAAGCAGCAAGTTCACATTAGTGTTGTTCAAGGAATCATCATTAGCCCAACCCATTTAGAACTAACGAAGATGTCTTTTTTAGAATGAAAAAAACAGATTACAGGTCCCTTAATCTAGATTGGTGTAAGTCTTAAGGAAAGCAGCCATATTCATTACAGAATAGGATTTCAAAATAAACCAGACATTCGTTGGCCAAGAATCTCAACTGATAAAACAAGCTGACTACTGTTGATGCACTAATTCAAGCTTGTTAGCGAATCACCATAAGAGAAATCGCTAAGGAATTTAGAACAAGTGCTGACAGCATGGAAATATTAGTTAAAGATTGTCTTAAATTCAGCAGAGTGAGCAACAGGTAGATTCCTAATTTTTTTATGCTTGAACACTTCCTCCCCCCCCCAAAAAAAGGTCTGGTTGCAATCATACAAAAGTGGGATGTCATATCTCCCTACTCCCAAATAGTCCAGCTTTTTCACCGTTAGACAGGATCTTCCGGTTCCTTTAAAGAATATTTCGGAAGGAAAAAAATTAAATGTAATGAGCAAGTTTTTGACGTTGTGCAAGAAGTCAACATGCAATCAAACGACTTTTGTTCTTCTGGAATTAAAAAATTTAGTGTTGGAGCAAGTGAATTATATTGGCACAGAAAATTTATTCCATAATATTTAAACTATAAATATTTGAAGTCTAAAGTGTTACAAATGAACCTATTAGCTAAATGACATTATTCCGCTTGACTAAAGATGAAATATATATTTTAAAATATTTTAGAAATATAGAAATATATAAAAAAACTCCCCCCCGCAAAGAAAAAAGTAATTTTTCTGTTGGAGATATATTTCCTAATAGTATTTTTAAATATTTCAGTTATTTATTGAAATTAAGAAGTTTAATGGTCCCAAATAAAAGTCTTTAACAGCCTCTGTCGATTTTAAAGAGTAGTCTTCTTGGAGACTCCTATAACAATTTATCGTCTTATACATCCATATTCTCTGAAATACTGGTATGTTCATACACTGGCAAGTGGTTGCTATAAGAAAGTTCATTGTATTTTGACGTGAAAGTTCTGTTATTTAAACGGATGATATCATTTTTTAATAGTGTTTGAGCAGTTAGAAGTTTAACTTTTATTTAAATTATATTAAACATTATTTAGGCATTTGTAAATGCTTAATAATGTTAATCAAAGGATACCTTAGAAGACTTATTTACTTTTACAGCAGTTTTTATGTTATTTTAAATAAACTCTTCTGTACTTTTCAGATAGCACGGCTTTGTGCAATAATTAATTAATATATATATTTGGATTTTTTATGCATAAAAATTTTATTATATTCTAAGAGATATATTTTTCCCTCTTAGGGTGCTTTGTACTTATTTTTACATGGACGTCTTCTAGAAGTGAAAGGTGAACTTGATCAGGTAAAATTTGTATATTCTTATTTAGAGATCTTGGTAGTTTAATTAATCGGAATTAAACTTTAGATAGCATTTGACTGTAATTGTTTCCAACGTGTAGGCCATCAATCAGTTTTTGGATTCTTTGACAATACAAGACACATGGCGACAGATGCGAAATTTGGGTTCATGGGAAATTATGTGGTGCTACAGGTATGATATTATGTTAAATCTATTCAGGTAAGATTTTAAATTTACTGTGTCCCATTATTATATATTGACTAAGAGACATTTCATTTTATCATAATGAATATGCAAAATAGAAATTAATCAACTTTCTTCTATTAGCAGACCTATTTTGACGTTCGAAACGCTTATAATTTTCTTGTTTCTCACATTCTGTTGCACAGACTATTAGACATTTTAATTCAAAGCAGGAGACGCGAAAAATGTACAATGCCCTCTCCAGGTGGTCTTGAATCTGTGCCTTCTAATGCTCGTGCACATGCTTTCTAATTACACCAAGAAAGTACGCGGTAGGGAAAATGAAAATACCTTTTATACTCCCCTCCTTGTAAAGGACGATTGGGGAGGAGGGGATACAATCGCCTAATCCTGGTGCTGATAATATTAATCCACCACCTTCTTTTTAGTTCGGGCTTCACTTGTACTGTCTTTTAGAATTTTTCGGAGTCAGGGAAGGTGAGACAATTCGCTATTTTGTGCTTTTTTATTCTCAACAACATACTATATAAATTCCATATGCTGGTTACTCAGCGAATGTATTGTTCAGTATTTTCATAGTAAATGTCAATTATTTTGGAACAATATCCTTTTTATTTAAAGGTACTGAGTTAGCGAATAAATTTTCTCTCTGACAACCGAACAACATAAAGGCAAATGATATTCTCAAAATAACGTTTTTTTTTTTTGGTTACTACTCTAACAGCTGTAAACCAGATATGTAAAAATTATGGAATTTAATCTATGTTATATCTTTTCGCTGAAGTTCTTTGATAATTAATGAATAGTATAATGCTTCATGCTGTCATTAATTTGTTACTTTTTTTCATCGAATTTACGATATTAGCCAAATATCTTTGGAAATTTTAGAATTCACGTGCGATTATTTTACCCCTTGTTAATTTTCAAATGCCAAAAAGTTACGGTAATGATTTATTATCATTTTAAACTTTAGAATGAAATATGAACTTTCCAAGAATATCTCAGCAATATTTTAGAGTGAAGAAAATATGAAAATGAGTAATGATTTCTAATGGAGAATATCAGAAATTTATCCTCTTTAATCATCGAAATATTAGAATTATTTATGAGTAATGTCTGCAGTTTCTTTTACACTTTGCTACGGGAGATTCATTATGCTATTAACAGTGAGATTATGGCTAGAAGTCTCCTCGAATGCATTATAAATTATCACTTATGATTTATGCTGATTTAACACTTGCTACGTTCTTTATTTGCGTTTCGTTTAAAAAAATATATAAATTTTATTTTAACGTAAATATGCAGTCTTTGTTAAAATAAATTATATCCTTTTTCATATCATTATCAAATAACAGCCACTATTATATTATCTATTTTCATTATATTCAGTATTAACAAACATGAAATGCTGATATTTCGTTATTATGAGCCGCATATTGCGCAATTAATTGCTGAATTTTGAGACTTTTTAAGCTGTTAATAATATCGACTAATAAATATCTTCACACCAAATCAGTGACAGATTAATTACATTAGAAAACACGATTGCCATATTAATTCTTAAATCACTGCCAAGTTAATTCTAGGAATCGACATTTCCTTTATTTTACGTTTTAAAATTTTATCGGAATTAAAAATCTAACAATCTTAATAAATCTTAACAATTATTTATGTTTAGTGGCAAACTGATATTGAACTAATCTTTGTATGTCTAGTGTTTAACTAAAATGTGCTTATATACAAGGGCAACAGTTATGAATCAGTCTCAAAATATAATAATGGGAGGACGTGTGTATCTCATATAACATTTTACTTTAAAATAGGTACTTCAAGGTAGTACCAACTCTTCCCTCATGTAAGTTTGTAACACGTGTCGTCTTAGCCACATAAAAGGCATCGGAGGATTTGAAGATGGGATCTTTTTCTCCGCAACAGTCGTTGCTATGATAGCAGCGAAAGGCTATGTTACGAAGATTACAGCGAAAGGCTATGTTACGAAAGAACATTCAGCTATAAACTGGAATTTTCATGCTTCTTTCTTATAAATAGTTCAATGTAATAATAGCTTATTCATCAAATACATACAGGCTTGAACTTCAGAGAGTTAGCGCTAGTTTATTCGATTAACGCTTCCATTAGTTGTAATCAACATTTCCGAACGGGTAATTCGGATTAGTATTGTATAACGAATGATCATTAGACTTTTGCCTAATGAAGGTGTCATTCCATCTCGGATTTATTCGACGCTTAAATATAATTTTGGAGATGAGTGTCTTTTTCAGCCCAGAGCAGGGGTTAGAAAACTACAGCCCGCAAGCCAAATCTTACCTGTCGCTTGTTTTTAATCGCTTCCGCGAGTTGATATTGTTTTTTACATAAAAAAATAAATCAAATGACGCGCTATTATGCAAAGGCCGATAGTTGAGCTGAAAAGTTGTGAATAATGACTGAAGTGGCGCAACTATCATATTCTCTCGTTAGTCGTTGTTTTTAAACGTACTTCCAACAGGCGAATGTTTCTGCATTGTGCGCCGCGCGAGCGTGTTGGCAGATTTGCTATAGCGATGCACGTGGTATCGTCTGTCAAGGTACTCTACGATATTTTATTCTTTATATTCTATTCATTACATACAGTTACCATGTCATTCTCAAAATCAAATAAGAAGAAAAAAGTAGTCCTTGAATGTTGTCTTTTAAAGCAGAATGTAGTGCCAATTATTTTTGCATAGCATTAATGACAAAATTTTACGTTTAATATGCAATGGCATAATAGTTTTGCGAAACTAGTATAATATACGTCATCATTACTAAACTATATATGCGAGACCGTATTCAAACTTCACAGAAACTGAACGATCATTAAAATTTGAAACAGAATGCGTCATCGCAACGTAATTTATGCGTAAAAATAAAAAAGATAATGAAGCAGTAATTAAAATCAGCTTAAAGATAGCTCATTTATAAGCCACGAAAGTAAAAACCATTTACCGTTGGTGAATTAATTAAATAATGTTTGCTTGTGGCAGTCGAAGATATGTGCCCAGAAAAATAGACATGTTTCGATCTGTCAGTTCTTCGGTGAAACAACTGGAAGCCTTGAGGACATCAGGAGCCAGATCAAGAATCAATTAAAAAAGAAGGCAGAAAATTTAAATGATTCTCATTGGCTTTTGATTGAATCGACACATATTACTGATAGTGCCTAGTTGCTGGTATTTATTCGAGGGGCCAATGCTGAATTTCAGGTGATTGAAAAATTAGCTCATATGAATAATCTGCTTGGAACAACTACAGATGAAGGTAACTAACTTCAAGGAAGTCGTGAAAAAGCTAACACAAAACAGTTCGCAATGGAATCAGTTAAAGCGCTTCGAAAAGGTAATTCGCATTAGTATTGTACAACGAAAAATCGTGAATGGAAAAATATGTGTGGAGTGGGGAAAGAATTAATTGAACAAAATTTTAAGGCTTGTGAAGATGCTAATTAATTAAAAACTCTGGTAACTGATAATATTATTTAATAGCAAGGTCTAAATGAGAAACATTTCAACTTTTCATCTGTTATTGAATCCGTTGCATCAGCAGTAAACTTCACTCGCTCTCGTGGGATTTAATCATTACCAGCTTCGTAAACTTTTATTACAGATCGATGCCGAATACCCTGACTTGTGTTATGATACAGCTTCTCGATGGCTCATAGTTGGGAAAGTTTTGTTGAGATTCTTTGGAATGAGAAAAATTATAGATATATTTTAAATGAGAAAAATTGTCCTTCATTATCATGGAAATTAGCATTTTCTACAGATTTCGTGAGATATCTCAACGAATTGTATTTAAAATTAAAGGCGAAAACAGTACTCAAACGTGAGATATATTCTATTGTAAAGGCATATCGCGGAAGATTTGCATTGTTGGAAACGCGAGTAAAGTTAAAACAAATGTGAGCATTTCTCATGCTGTAAAAAATTTCAAAAAGTAGGAAAAGCGCCATTACCCCCTTAAACATTATTCGCAGAGGATACAGCATCTAAACTTATACTAGAGTTACAACAGCATTTTGTGAATTTTAATTTGCAAGCGCAAAGGATGTTCCCATGCTTCAAAATCCATTTCACCTTTGAGGAGCTTCCATCCAACCTTCAACTGGTTAGGTTAGGTTATTCAATTTCAGCAAAGCCTCAAGGGCTATCTGCCTAAGGGGAGGGATGCCTTCGTGGAGGATTTTTCTAAGGGAAACTGGCTCGTATACACGTTACACATGGGGAAAACCACGAAAACACCCATGCAGGCAGCCCGTTCGCGGGATTCGAACCTCTCGGACCGAACTACCAGTGTTCAGCGATTTTACCACTCGGCCGCTGGTGGGCCAACCTTCAACTGGAAAAGATTAATTTGTGAAATGATGATATGATAAAAATGATGTTTAAAGGAAAGGATCCAAGTCATTTTATAAATATCTTTCGGATAATAAATACGCTCAATTAAAATCTTATGCACAGGGCTGGATAACCATATCTGGGAGCACTTCACAATGCAAAAAGACATTTTTGAAAATGTCTTTGTATGTATGTAAAATCCCAGTTCAGATTATTATTAAAAGATGACCATTTATAAACAACTTTGATGGTAGAAAGTACTAATTTCGAATTTCAATATGAAGGAATATTAACTGGGAAAAAATTATATTCTTTACATTTGAAATTTTAAGCTATTTAATAATAATAAAGATTTTTAATATGCAAATGTAAAGCTTTTATTCGTTTTTTAATGAATAAGTATTAGTAAAATGTGTATGAATAATACGTAAACATATCACTTCAAATAATAAAAGAAATGAACTTTTTTTTATATATATGAGGAAAATTATCCATTCATACCTTTATGTTTACTACTTGACCCCCCCCCGAGCCTAATTTTTTTGCAGTGAGCTTTATAAAAAACGCTTGCTTGCCAACTCCTGGTATGGAGCATATTCATAACTACACTTAGAGAATTTTAGGAGGGAAGGAACAAGTCTAACTCTAGCAAATTCAGCTTCCTAGGCGTTCACTACAGTTGGCATCCCATATAAATTAAACATATTAATAATGCAAAGCAAAATGATCCTTTATTTAATTATGGCTTTTAAGAACAATTTAGCTGGAACCCTCCGAAGTTTAACACCCTAGGCAGCTGCCTACGTTCCTAGAGACGGCCCACAGAAGTAATGCACAAGTAAAATGAGCAGGTTATGATCGCTGTGGAAGAATGGGTCAACGTTCAGTCAAATGTTGAGTAATTAGGCATTTATTGCAGCAGAAAACATAGAAAATTACCACTGCCTTTACCGGGATTCTAGCTGCCACCCTTCCGATTGCTAGCCGGATGTGCTTCCAGTTGTGCCACACAGGTACGCAGTAACAAAGGAGAAATTTCTTATATTCTGACGTAATTAAAGGATGTCTGGAGAGGAGGAGACCCGTCACCAAATCGAAGTGGTGACGAATTATTATGCACCATACTTTAGTTCGGGCGCCAGTGTAGAGCGAATACGCATTTATCCTGACCGGAAGTATGAAAGATTAGCAGTATCCTTGCTGTGGTTTAAATTCTGGACCTCTCTTCTAGCCGAATGTATTTCCAGTTTTTGTGCTGAGCAAAGAGAAAATTCCTTACAGGAAGACTTTTTCAGAAAAAGTCTTTCTGTAAGGTCTGAAATTTTTCTAAAATTTAGAAGCTTCCTAGAGATGGAATACATGTACTGCTGTGACTGGAGGTTACATACAGCATGTAAGTCTATACAGTAAACGAAGTTTTTCTGATAATTCTAGTTTATATTTGAACTTCCTTCATAATAAAAGGAAAAGCTTTGCTGTAAAATTTATATTGTCTCAGTATAAATATTACCACACATCACCATTCATTACGTTTATTAACATCACTTTAATGAATTTCCAGCATTAATTGTAATCTGAATATCTAATGGATTTTGTGTATCTGAACACTAAAGGGACCTACAAACTTCTATAACGAAGTATCTTTGAAATTTCCAAATTTTTCTAGTTGTTCATAATATTCTACTTACATTTATCTGTTAATAACTACTAAAAACTGAATTGACTGATCATTTATATTGCATTCTCTTCTTAAGCAAGAATAATTTTTTTGCTTTATTAATGTATAAAGCAAGCTCTCAATGCTTAATGAATCCTAAATTTTCATTACATTCACAAATGTTAGAAACAATTTATGGTTTTATGCTGAAAAATAATTAATTGCTGTCTAGATTATTAACTTATTAATTGTTGTTGTGATATGCGAATTTCAGCTTTAAATTCGAATGGAAAAATGCCCAGAAGTACGTGGATTTCCTAAGGAAGGAAGGCCGATGGTCTCCATGTATCTATACCTATACTTATGCGTTAGTACTCTATATGCAATACTTAGAAGGCGGACAGAAGGACAAAGACATTCTCCTCGAAATTCACGATTTAATGAAGTAAGCATTGCACGTTGTCTGAATTGTTTTAACCTGTGTTTTACTTGATTAATACATCCAAGTGTGTATTTTTGATATGAAGTGTAAGTCTTTTTACCATAAAAACTTGTAGAAAGAAATAGAGAGGTATTTAGCTTTTTTAGGTTAAAATAAACAAAAAAGAGGGTTATGGTGCCCCTCCCCAGGTAATGTATTTAATTTTATTAGAATTTTAACTCTCGTTAATATAAAGCTTTTAATAATTTATTCAAAAAAATATGCAGAATAATTCGCTTTTTAACTTTGCCAAACTGACAAAAAATATATTAATGTAATGTAAACTGGTAATATTTTACCAGTTTATAATTCCGTTTTGGACATTTACTCTTCTTTCTCCTTTTCCGAGGACCCCTTCTTCCGTCTTTTACAAGTTCTTTAACTTCGAGAAATTTATGATTTTCCTTAATTTCTGAAAAAAAAAAAAAAAAAAAATCAGTATTGTTAGTATTGTTATTATTACTCTTTTAAGCATATTTAAAACTCATCAATTGCGACTTATTAAGCAACATCCCCAATAGATGGCAGCACCATTCATTCTGAACACATTCTCCTATGTTGCTTTTTAGCGCATATCTTTACCTCACATACCTGCTTACAAGAATTTTGTATGCATATTACAATATTTGTTTGGTCACTTGCTTTGGTTTTAATTTTGTAGAATTTCTTTGGAATCCATGAGCGTTTTAAATTAAGCTTGAAAAAATCTTATAAATTTTTAGAAGCGAATATAAAATTCGTTACATTTGCACAATACTCACACATAGAAAATAGGAAAAAAAAAAAAAAAAAAAACTTCAAGATGTACACGTTGGGGTTCAGGACTACCTGCCTTCAAAATCTGATAACTCTTAGGTGCCGTCTTTTAACAAATCCAGAAGCAAGGTATCGTCTCTGTAGATCTCCTTTGATTGAGGTATTGTTCAACCTAGCTAACTGTTAAGTTACAGCTTAACAATTATACGACGAACCGAAATACTTTCGAGAGGTCTGGAGGAGCATTCATTACTGTAGAAGATTGTCCGAGGGTCTCTGACGCCTCTTCCCTTACCAGCGACCTCTCGAAAGTATTTCAGTTTATCGTGTATTTTGAGAGCTCTCATTCCGCACAGACAATGTTTCCCTACAAACATCCATGCCTTCTCCGGGATTCGAGCCCCAACACTTTCGGCATGCCAGTCACCGTCACTAACCTCTGCAACTCTGAAACTCTGAAAATTTTATACAGTAATTAAATATGAGAAACATTTGTATTTTAATGAATTTTTTGCATGATTGACATATTATCATTCTAAAAAAATAAAATTTCATGAGACCATTAATAGCATAATTTTAGACTTTGAAAACTTTAAAATTAATTTGGTGAAAATTCTTTCGGCTTTACCAAATGTAACAAAATTATAAATTAAAGATCCTAGTAAATCAGAAAAAATAATTGAATGATTATTAAAGGGGAAAAATCAGCCTCGATTTATGCTAATTTATTTACTAATCGTCCCTTCAATGCAAATTAAAAATGACGTCAAATATGACAAGTTTTGAAATAAAATACCTCGGTCAATATTTATCGTACTTGAGTCAAACATTTTTGTGCTTTTTTTAACTAAGAATATAATTTTTTCCTAAATACAAGCATAGGGACATTAAAAGGAACATTAAAAAAGTTAGACTTCGTAATTTTCAAAAAAAACCTGCGTTTGTAAATTTAAAAATACCAAGGTGTGGATATTTGCAACATTTAAAATATTTTTATCACTAGAAGTATATGTCTACGAATGGTTGGGCGAAAAAAAAAGATCTTTACTAACTTACACAATCATTGTAGTTCTGGTCTTCAGATAAAGTCCGAGTATATATGAGTACAGGGTTATCCAAATTAAACTTCCCCAACTCAGAGGCCTGTGCAGAGAGTTGTATGGGTCATAATGTGATGAAAGTTTAAAAACAGACACTTCAGATCATGCGCTCGAGATTTAGTACAAAAAAAAAAAAAAAAAAAAAGGTACAAGAAATTGCCGATAGGTGGCGCTGTAACACTAGTAATGGGCATATTGCAGCAACGTGATTTGCAGAAATAAAGCTTCTGCGCAGCGTATCCAAAAGACGAGCCCTACAAAAGTGGAAGACAGGCCTTGCACAGGCAGTTGGTTTCCAGCTCGCTGATGCACAATGGCGACTTTGAAAAGACAAAGCTCTGTTAGTGAAAACTTTCTTCTGCCAGAATGACGAGAACTTCTGTGCTGCGATAACAGCATCCGTCGGCTGAAGATCATACGCCGAGTACCAATGACACCACGCGCTCTACGAGACATGATAAGAAGTTCGAAAGAACGGGACAGCTGGGAATTTTACCAGGTACAGGACGACAGGTTGTGGAATCTGCACGCTAAGAAGAGGCTTTGGCGGTCTTGGACCCACTAGCCAATCGCCACATGGTGTTGTCAGTATGCCAACTGTTTTCGTGGTGTTGATATGCCCTATCGACCGTCGGAGTGTGATGATGCGTCGAATCCTCGGTTATTTCCTTAACAAAATCATAGTCGTCATCTGCTGTCCGATGGGGATCCTGTAGTTCGGGGGAAACATTTGCGTTGCAGTTCCTTGCCAGAATGGAAGTCGATACTGCTTGGCCGTGGAACATCCTTTGAACGGATGAGGCCCATTTCACCTGAATGTCAAGTGAATACGCACAACTGCCGCATTTGGGCAAGTGAAAACCAGCGCGCAATCCATCAAGTGCCCTTGAAACTCCAAAGGGTTATTGTATGGTGCGGTTTACTGCAAATTCGTCATTGGGCCTTATTTTTTTGAAGAGGTGACTCCACCAGGGTCAAACCTGCTCTATTCACAGGAAACGGTACCAGAACATGTTGACAACGTTTGTGATCCCTGAACTGCAACCACGTGGCCGCCTTCAGGACACGATATTTGCAGGATGGTGCACTCCCCTATTCTTGTGGCTTCTGGTGTTACAACAACATACGATTACACAAACAACGATATTCAACAGGGTCACGGCAACTTTTACCGATGCAGTGTATGCCCGCTGTTCCCTACAGCTTGGCCTTCCTGCTCGCCTGATCTCACGCCATGCGACTTTTGTATGGGGGAAATCTAAAGGATCGGGTCTAGAGAACACCAGCAAACCTTGGCACATCCTGAAAGACGCAATTATGGACATGTTCATGGAATTAATGTGGAACTTACTGCGTTCCACTGTGGAACACACTGCTTTGCGAAGGAAAGAATTGTGGAGAACCACGGCACACATATAGAAACATCTGTAGAATGTCTTGTTGATCTGCAGCGCACCTAACGGAACTTCTGTACTATTTTTTTGTTTAATAAATCTCGAGCGCATGACCTGAAGTGTCTGTTTTTAAAATTTCATCACATTATGACCCATACAACTCTCTGCACAGGCCTCTGAGTTGGGGAACATTAATTTGGATAACCCTGTATATTTGTCGGCCTTGTACAGCCTACTGATATTTTTATGTTATCTGAATATGACAACTCATAGTAGGCCTATCTGCTTAAGGAAAGGGTGGCTTGGACGACTTTCAAAGGCAAACTTTCTCGTAGTTACATTACAACAAGGGGAAAACCACTAAAGCAAGCATGCAGCCGAAGCTTTTCATCTGGGATCTGGTGGAATGACTACAACAGAGTCCGTTTGCAATCAGGAGTATTGTGATTATCGTCCGAAAAAGAAATTTTAAAATTATTTCTCAGTAAAAGTCATGACATGGAAAAAAAATGGATTTTCAATCAATTCTTCCAATTTTTATCTGCTAAAAATAACAAATTGGTTATTTGGTTGCAATTTTAAATCAGCATGTTTTAATAAATTAAATAAGTTTTGGTTAAAATTCCCCCCTCCCCGACTTACATCCTGTCACTCCATTTTAACCCACACTTTCTAGTTTCTTCATGAAATATAAGGATTTAGAGTACAGTTAAATAACTGAATTTATTGTTTTGATTGCTTGATTTAAACATATGTATTGTTTGATTTAAGAATGAAAATTGTAAATGTTATGAAATATATAGCTTTCCATTCTGCCTCATAATATCATGCTACATTGTGTAAAATAACTCAATATACTTTTATTTCATTCCGTTGATTGTAACAAATTTAAAGAGTAAGAGTTTTTAAAGTTTTTTCTTCTTGCGTAATCTGCAAACATTATTTTTTAGATTATGGGCTCCTCCACTTTTCATAATTTTTAATTTTATCCATCGGTGGCTAAGAAAATGAAAAGAATTTTTCTCTTGAATCTAAGCTTTGTTCTAAAACATGAGTAATTTTACCATTCTGCGGTCTTTTAAGCGTAAAATTCTTTTAAGGTGTACGCAAGCAAACGTTAAAAGGCTTACTGAAGAGGAAAAACATATAAGAAACGTTATAAAAATAAATATAAAAGAGAAAGAACTAATAATCTGCCTCTGCAAATCCGAAATTTAATATAAAATTTCTTCATATTACCGTGTTTTTCCACCCTCTAGTTGTGTTTTTACCAATATTTTAAGAAAAATAATTGAAGATAAGAAAGAAAGCAGTTATTTTTATACATTTTTAATAAATTCAAGAATAATCTTTATTCAGTTTATGAAATGGGAAAAAATAGTATAATGAAAGTAGTATCAAATATTTCTTTTATGGAAAAAAGGGAATTAGCCAACAAGCTTCCTTTAATACGCCAGTAACACGGAGGCATGATAGGAATAAGAGAATAACTCTTTGAAAATGAATATAATAGAGAGCAAATTTATAATCGGAATATAAATTTTTAAATTGTACTTTTAATAAGTAGATTGTCTTTATTGCAAAACCTAAGTAACTTTTCTGATTTTCGTCGTAATTCCGCAAAACGTCATCTGGGAGGCATGAAAATCACACTACAAAGGCAAATTTAAAACTTAAAGGATGAAACGTAGAGTAGCAAAAAATGAATAGCAGG